TTTGTCCCCATCTGTAGCCCCCAGAACAAAGTTGGATAGTGAGTAAGTATGCAGTAAATGGTGGTTAAAGAGAGTTTCTACCTCCAGATTAGAAAAGGAAAACATCTCATATTCTCTTCTAGTCCTTTTAGAGTGTGTTTTTAAAAAATATGTTTTTTATCCATCTGGGGTTTATTTTAGTGATGAGAATGAAGTAGAGACACAGCTTTATTTTTTTCCAAGTGGCTAGCCAGTTGAACCAACACCATATTGAATAATCTGTCTTCCCCCTACTGATTTGAAATGCCACCTTTAGCATATACTCAATTCCCACATGTATTTGGGTCTATTTCTGGACTCCCTATCCTGTCCTGGTGATGGCTCTGTCTGGGAGTCTATATTTTTTTAAAGCTCCCCAGGTGATTCTGATGCAGCCAGTCTACAGATGGTGCTTATCTATGATGAGATATTTTTGTGGATTCTTAGCAATGAAGGAAAAAAGAGTATCACAAACTTAAAGTTATTTTTGAGGATCCTTCTTTTATTTTGTGATTATGTACTTACTGTATTTTTTATTTTAAGATTTTTAAATAAATTAACATTGATAGTAGATGGTCATTCTGGCTTATTTATTTCTAAGTGCTTTTTTTGGAGACGGAGTTTTGCTCTTGTTGCCCAGGCTGGAGTGCAATGGCATGATCTCGGCTCACCACAACTTCTGCCTCCTGGGTTCAAGTGATTCTCCTGCCTCAGCCTCCCAGGTAGTTGGGATTACATGCACACGCCACCACGCCCAGCTAATTTTGTATTTTTAGTAGAGACAGGGTTTCTCCATGTTGGTCAGGCTGGTCTTGAACTCCTGACGTCAGGTGATCTGCCCGCCTTGGCCTCCCAAAGTGCTGGGATTACAGGCGCAATAGAATTGTATACTTAAAATAGGTGAGTCTTGTAGGCATGAGCCACTGCATCCAGCCTTCTAAGTACATTTTTAAAGGAGTATAACATAGAGAACATAGAGAAATGTACACAAACCGTAAGTGTACAGCTTGATGAATTCTCACTAACTGTACACACCTGTATTAGTTTCATAGGGCTGCTATCACAGATTAACACAAACCTCGTGGCTTAAAACAGCAGAAATTTATTATCCTACAGTTTGGAAGCCAGAAGTCCAAAATCAAGGTGTCGGTGGTTCTAGAGGAGACTCCTTCCTTGACTCTTTCTAGCTTCTAGTAGCTCCAGGAGTTCCTTGGCTTGTGGCAGCATTACATCAACCTCTCTGCCTCCATGGCCTTCTTCTCTTCATCTCTGTTTCAAATCTCCTTCAGCCTTTCTCCCTCTCTCTCTCTCTTTTTTTTTTGTATTTTTCATAGAGATAGGTTTTCTCCATGTTGGTCAGGCTGGTCTCGAACTCCCAACCTCAGGTGATCTTCCTGCCTCGGCCTCCCAAAGTGCTGGGATTACAGGCGTGAACCACCACGCCCGGCCGAGACATGGAGTTTAAGACCAGCCTGAGCAACCTAGCGATACCACCATCCCTACAAAATATACAAAAATTAGGCGTGCCTGTAGTCCCAGTTACTTGGGAGGCTGAAGCAGGAGGATCGCTTGAACCCAAAAGTATGAGGTTGCAGGGAGCTCTGATCAAGCTATTGCACTCCAACCTGGGCGACAGTGAGACCCTGTTTCAAAAAAAAAAAAAAAAAAAAAAAAGGAAAAGAAAAAAAAAAAAATAGGATATCATACAATGCCAGACTCCTCCATATTCTGCCTGGCAGTGGAGTGACCACTATCTATCTTATCTTAATTTTCTTCTTCTTCTTCT